TGGAATGAGCAGGGGACGCTGAGCGTGAGCCCTCATGCTAGTTGCTTTTTAATACAAGCTTCTGGGCAGTGGACGAGTTTTCTGCCAGTGTGTGTGGGGAAAGAGCAGCGGGAAGCAGAAGGACCCACAGGAGGCAGGCAGGGCTCACGTTAGGAATTACAAGGAGCTCAGGATGGAGGGATATTTGTTTATCATGGCATTTTGCCCTGATGTCATTCTTGCTATTATCTTGTGCCCTTTCTTCTCTCTGTATGTCTCTGTTGTGGAGGTATTGTGCTTTGAAGGTACACATAACAGACTTACTAAACTTAAAGTCAAGTTTTGCTATTAAATAATCTTGAGCAGGTTACTCAAAATCCTTGAGCCTCAGTTTTCCCATTTCAAAAATGGGCATCATAATAGGGTAGAGGGTGAAGTTTATATGTAATATTAATGATGACAATGTGTTAAGTTGCATAATCATAGGGAGTGGCCAGTCCCGTGCCTGGTACACAAAGGTCATCAATATATTAGTTGATTTATTATTAGTTCTATTCATCTCTGACTCTTCTGCACAATTTTTGTTAATTGTCTACCCTTTATCTTCCTGATGTATTTTTCCCTGTGTCCTCCTGGCACTTTCAGAACTTTGGAATCAGTTGTTTGGGGTCAGGAGCTGGACATGCACAGTTCAGGTCCAGCTATTAGTTGTCGTCTTACAGAGAATTCCTTATGCTTTGGATTTTCTTTTTTTAAACCTAAATTTCTATATCTAGAGTGTTCAACCCAACTGCTTTTATTCTTGTTTTCTTGTTTGTACTCCATGACTCCTGTTGATCACAAAGTGGATTAGTCTGGTAGTGTAGACAAAATAGGAATTTCTTCAGTAAACTATCATGAAAAACACATGATAACTGATTTTCCTGAGATATAATTTTCACTCATTATATATTTTAAACATAAAGCGTTAAGGAAATAGGTATTCAGAATCATGCCACTCTTGCCAGAATAAGCATTGTTGTGCTAATATCACGGGTAGGAATGCTGCCAAAGTCATATTAATCTGGGACACCATTTACTATAGTCCCCTAAAATTAAATTCTGTTGCTCCAATTATCACTGTGGGCCCTGTGTTTGTTTTATACAGTCAACCTTCTGTTCTCTTTTTCTTTTGACAATTGAAAAGAAGTTAAGCCAGAATAATTTCAATAGAACATTAGAAGTAAAATGAAGGGTGGGTGAACCCTGATTACTCTGGGAAACAAACTCCAATGAGTTACTTGTGTTTTTATGATCAGATGTTGTGGCTTAAATTATTTTATCTCAAAATTGACCTAGCTTCTTTTTTATATATTTACATAGAAAGGCTATATATTTTTGAACATACACAACAAATTTTACCAAAGCTAGTATCTGTTGATTGCCTACTAGATTGAGGCAATGTGCTGGGTACTTTGTATCTGTTATTTTATTTAGTCCTAACTGTGTATTTCATAAAATGGCATTAAGCTCCTACAGATGAGGAAATTGAGGCTAAGAGAAAAAATATTTTGGCTAAAGTCACTCTCATAAAAATGGTGGAGCTTGATTTGAAAATAGCCCTGTATTCATCTGTGTAGAATGTCGGTGGGCCTGGTCCCCGTGTTGCTGAGTGATCCCCCCATTCTGGAAACCGTGGTCACCATTTTATCTTTTTCTCCAATTGTGTCCAATATGCTAGCATGCATCTACTCTGACATTAACTTGGAAAGATTGCTCTGTTTTCTAAGTACTACCAGGGATTATAGCCTCTACTCTGGACCCATTTAAATCTCCAGTCTCCCCTCCAGGCTGACTCTCCCGTCCCTCCCTCTGCCTGGGCCACGCTTGGCCCGAGGAACTTGAAATGCAGTGCAGAGAGAGTGTGATGTGGGTTTTCACTCTCCGTTTTCAGGCCCTTCCTTTCTGTGTCCCTTTCTCTTCCCATGTGTCAGGCAGGACTGAAATAGGAAATGGCCGAAGCCTCCTGTAATTCCCGGGTAGCTGTGCGGTCCTCCCTGGGCTGTGACGCCCTGGTGGGGTATAGGGACGGGCTCTGCCCTGACAACTTCAGACTCCCCAGCTCCTGTGCTCATGGGGCTCTGCTCATGGCCTTGCCGGCGGGGTCCCTGTCCCTGGCTGGCAGCCTTTGAGCCTGGGAAAGCCGCCTGACACCTGGACACCTGCAGCTCACTCCCGCGGGTGTCTGCCTTCCTCACCACCTGGGGCCTGTATTTTTGCCTTGCCAGGTGGGGAGCCTGTAGGTTGCTCCCAGTTTTGCTCCATTTCTTTTTCATGTCAGTAACTCTCTCCAGAATCTTCTTGTACTCGGTCCAACACGGGCATATCAGGGACGTGCTGTCCACAGATGTTCACTGGGAAGGAGATTCCCAAACCCAAACCCCATCCCTCCCAGTGTGGACGCTTCTCTAGTAACTCGAACCCCGGTCCCTCCCAGTGTGGACGCTTCTCTAGTAACTCGAACCCTGGTCCCTCCCAGTGTGGACGCTTCCTCTTCTGCAGGGAACACGTCCTTTCTCTCCTTTTCCGTGGTGGTGGGGGTGGGGGTGAGTGGATGGTGGGGAGTACATAGTGCTTTCTTCCTGGGCTGACTGCTCAGTCTCGGACAATCCTTTTGAATTCTTTCTATCCCTTTGCTTCTCTAAGCTGCTGGAGGGGTCACAGGCAGTGGCTGTTTAGTCACCTTGTCTGTCCTGAGTAAGAGCTCTGGGCTTGGCTGCTCTTGGAATGTGGGAGCACTTGGCCCCACGGTCCTTGGCTTTGGTGTCTTAGCTCATTCAGAGGTAACTAGAAGACACCCAGCCAACATCCAGTTACACAAGTATTATGTCCTCAGAAGAACTCAGGAGGCACCTCCGTTTGTAAGGGAGGAGAATTGGACTAATAGAAATGAGGTTATTTTCCAAAGGTCTTGCAGATAGAAAACGGTGAGATCATGATTCAGATTCTTCCAGGCTTCAAGCACTTTCTTACTTGTTATCCATAAACCCTACTACTATCTTCTTGACTATGACAGAAGTTAAGATGTGTTTATTTTTGACACAGTTGAATGCCAGTGCACCGAATTAGTGCTGTTGATTTTTTTTTTTTTTCGAGGCAGCTTCCTTATAGAAACTGATGATCAGCGGGGACAGAGTGCTGAGATGGGAATATTAGCTGTCCCAGCGATGCATGGTTCGGTTCTCCTCCTTAATTTTCCCTCACGCATAGCTTTTTTATTAATGACTGCCTCCAGTTCCAAGTCTATACTGCTAATGCTGATGTGAATGGTGGATTCTGCCAGAATTATGTTAAGGCTTCAGTTATTTTAAAATGTGATTACGCCAGAAGCACTGACTGCGTGTGCTTTTTGTGTATCTGAGTGCATTTGCAGATGCTTCCAAAAATTTCTCCTTCTGCTAATTTTGTTTTCTTCTTAGTTACAGGGATGCAGAAAAGAATCTCCACCATATCTCTAACAGATGCTCCTATGCAGACCATTCCAACAGAGAGGAAATGGAATACGTCTCAGGAATTCTCCAGTGTGCTGCTAATGTACTAGGTATATTAACTATGTGTTTACCTGGTTAGGAGAGATGGAAAGACCGGGAAGTAGAGCTGTAAATGTTTCATTTCTTACTGAAAAGAGGTTGGAGAATATGGCAAATCATGACCAAGACCTCATTTGCAAGTGATTTGATTTTAATACTCCTGATGGTGTTTGAGTGGAAATTACATGCATGCCATTTACTCAGAGATTGAAGAACATTAAAACAAAAATAGGTAAATTCCAGGGAAACTTTTTCAGATAGTCATATGTTAGTAGCATAGCTTTGTGCAGTTCATATTTATCTGGCCCTTACCCTCAGCTAAAACTGTAGGACCCTTTTTTCCTCTCTGAGTCATACTCTACTATTTCTGGGAGGCCGTGGTTGAGATTGGAGGTGGCTCAGATGTTCTCATAATGTGCTGTACAACTCAGAGGTCTCTTCCGTGGCTTTACTAGTGAAGCAGGTCACCTACTGAGGTCTCCGTGCCCTGCTGGGGATCAGGGGCATGTCCTCCTTGAAGATAACTTGTGTTTATGACATAGGGACTGTTTCTGGACTCTGCTTACGTGGCTAACAAGTACTGTTGCCAACCACACCCAGTCATGTGGCCTTAAGGTAGCATAACTGAGCTGTGTGTGATAGTTGTATTCTATTCACAGTAGATACCACAGGAGCAATATTTTTACCCTAATATCTTATACAGGTAAAAAATATTCCTTTAGTTCTTCTTGGAGTTCTTTGTCCTTATGACCCAGATAGGAATCTGTGGGGAGCTGGAGGGTGGTGGGTGGAAAACAAATTGAAGTGAACAACTCCACACAAAATGCAGAATCACTCTTCTCTCAGAGTTGGGTGATGGAGACTGGGGCAAGCTTGTTGCGTGTCTGTCTTTTCTTTCTTGGTAAGTCCTTTTCCTGGTGATATCTGAGTTTCTCCTGCAGATTCCAGATTTCCTCAAACCATGAGTCTGCCAGATGTTTCTAAGCATGTCTGATTCCCAGAGGTAGACCTTGCAGACACTCAAGCTGGGAATCCAGTTGCCAGCTGATTGCATTTTCATCCGAGGTATCTTCTGTAAACACAGAGTAATAGGAGAGTGGACTTTTTCTGAGGGGAGACAGGTACATGTAAATGCTTTGTCTGTCTTAGCACACAGGATGGTGACAGACCATGAAGAGGGACATCAAAGACTAATTCACTTCAGTCTTAGTCCAGCTTCAGGGAAGTTGTACCACCAAGGAGACCTTAGTATTGGAGGAAATGGAGGATGAAAATGAAAGGGGCATTACTCAAGAGCTGTTTAAAGTTTCCTGATTTTGTCTTTTCAGGGACTGTCCTTTTAGTAACATCTATTTCTCTTGACACATTGTGATTCAAGGGGAGTGGGGTAAGATAACACCCCAGTAAGAAGGGTGTATAGATTCTCAGTGGTGGGATGTTTAATATTTCACAAAGCTGCGTCTTACTTATCCAGTTCTAAATGCTTTTCTGACCCTCATGTCTCCTTTCCTTATGTTTTGTGCCTTGAAAATCACTAAGTTAGAGCAAGTAAGAGGTGTTAAAAAATATAGGGGGTGCTAAAGTCGACTGAGCTGTGACATGTGAGTGAATGTACAGAATTCCCACAAAGAAACCCTGGGCCAGGCACTTGATTGATGACCACCAGGGGGCACTGCTGGCACAGCACAGCTTAGTTGCCCTTCTGTGGTTGTCATGGGACGCAGAGTTAAGTGATGATTGGAAGGGGCAGCAGGCTGTGTGCTACCTGGAGATATTAGGGAAACACTACCTGTAAGTATCGTATTTATAATTTAGAAAATGACTGTAAAACAGGGCTCAGAGGTCCATAAATATTAACTTTTTCTGCAAAAAAGATATTAGGTCTGATTATTTTCTCCCTCTAGGTAATGATATGTTATTAAGATTTAAAACACAATCTTATAAAATTGAAATTTCTGGGGAATAAAACTAAAGTCAGTGCCTGCCACCTGTTGAGCAAATGCTGGCACAGATGATTGTGTACGTAAGAGGTAGCTCTTCTTTTTAAAATAATGTCCTTTCATAACTCTTGAAATGTAGACTTTCTGAGGACAAAGATAGTGGCTGTACTGGGCATATTCAATGAAAGCTTTGTTTTTAATAAGTTACTGGAATATGATTAATCTTGGCTTGTTTAGATTTCATCTTTTTAAAAATAATCCATTTGAATTCTCTTATGCAATCATTTATGAGAATGAAAATATTGGCTAACCAACTGAGCAGAAAAGCACTGTACAGGAAAATAAGTGTAATTTGGGGTGGGGGGGAGATAGGAGGCGGATGGCACAGAAAAAAAGTTAAGGGTAAGAAAAATTTCGATGCATAGTATCCTTCTCTGTGGATGCCAAAGGGCAATGTTCCAACTCTGCGATTTATGTTTACCACCTTTGGGGAGTGTATTTACGATATTGGTGGGTTGAAATTGGCAAATTTTTATCTCTCTTACTTTCTTAATTGTTACCAGGTTGAAGTAGAGACTAGAAATGTGTTGATTACTCACTTATTTGTGTGTTAGTTATATTTTACTTACCATCAGAAAAGACCTGCAGTCCTAGATAACACAATATGATCACAGTAGCAAGTTTTTCTCCTTCCAAGTGACCTTCACTGCTCTAGATAGTTGGATCACTTACTGGCTCTTCAGGTTGAAGTTTGAGTTCAGGAAGCAGCATGGAATAAGAAAGGGACCTGAAGAGAGGGAGGGAGTGAGCTGGTGAAGCTGGTTCTGCCTCTGCCACGCATCTGTCCTCTCATCTCCTCTGCAGGATTCCTGGGAACACACGACACTACAGAGAGGGTCATGCCCTGGAGTCATAGGAAAGAACCGTTCCCAGATACCAATTGTTTCCTCATCCATTTTACTTTTATTGGCTTAGAAACCAGGTGTTTCTATTTTCTGTCTCATTGCTGACA